AGCCGACGCGCTGCGCCCGCGCTGGGACTTCCCCGGCGCTTTCTACTTCGTGGGCACCGTGGTATCCACCATAGGTGAGCAGCACGCCCCGCACGCGTTCCCTCTCCGCGCCTTTCACCTGCTGCCCTTTCCAATGCTGGGCGGCTGAGTCCGCGTCCATCAGCTACCCCGTCTCTTCGAATTGCCTACTTTCTGCTCGCCCTCTCTTCTTCGCCCCGTCCCCTCCTTCGGCCTCTTCTCTCTCTTAACTGGCTTCTGGTGCGGGAGGCCCCTCCCTGGAGCTTACCCAGCGAAGACTCGCCTGGCAGCGTGGCCGGATGGGGTGGAACCCTCACCCCGGCACTGGCAGACCCGGGGGCCGCCTGCGCTCCAGCACCTGCCAGCTCCATGCCTGAACCTCTGTGCGACTCGTTTTTCCTCTATAAAGGACCTGTGAGCACATGGGCCTCTGCTTCCTTTCTATTTCTCACCCCCCTGCGCCCCCTGCCGCCTCAGTTTCTTCATATAAATAATTTGGAAAGCCCCTTCTCTCCACTCAGCGTTTTACTCTCCTCTTCTCTCTCCCTTTTTCCACGCGTTCTCCCCTCAGCATCCTCTAGCCCAGCGGTTCTCAACCTGTGGGTCGCCAACCTGGGGGTCGAACGACCCTTTCACAGGGGTCGCCTAAGACCATCGGAAAACACATATATAATTACATATTGTTTTGTGATTAATCACTATGCTTTAATTATGTTCAATTTGTAACAATGAAAATACATCCTGCATATCAGATATTTACATTACGATTCATCACAGTAGCAAAATTACAGTTATGAAGTAGCAACGAAAATAATTTTATGGTTGGGGGTCACCACAACATGAGGAACTGTATTAAAGGGTGGCGGCATTAGGAAGGTTGAGAACCACTGCTCTAGCCCTTTTATCCGAGGAATGCGACCACTCTCCCCAGAATCTCTTTCCTAGATCCCCTTCCCACCTGCTTTTTCTAGAGTCCACACTGCCCCCTCCTCACAGAAAAGCTGGGCGACTTGGAGGCCAGACTTCAGCTGCTCTTGTTCCTGGCCACCCTTGGTTTTCTCTCCCTCCTCT